ACACAACTGAGTGACTTCACTTTCACTTTATTCCTTTCCCAATTTTGAACCAGTCAGTTGTTCCATGTAAGGTTCTAACTGTTGCTTCTTGACTTGCATACAGGTTTCTCAGAAGATAGGTTAGGTGGTCTGGTATTCCCATCTCTGAGAATTTTCCACAGTTTATTGTGATCCACACAGTCAAAGACTTTACCATAGTCAATGAAGCAGAAGTAGATGTTTTTCTGGAATTCTCTTGCTTTCTCTATGATCCAACGAATGTTGGCAATTTGATGTCTGATTTCTCTGCCTTTTCTAAATCCAGCTTGTACCTTTGGAAGTTCTCAGTTCTTGTATTGTTCAAGCCTAGCTTGAAGGATTTTGAGAATTACCTAGCTACCATATGAAATAAGCGCAATTGTGCAGTAGTTTTGAACATTCTTTGACATTGCCCTTCTTTGGGATTAGAATGAAAACTGACCTTTTCCAGTCCTGTGGCCACTTCTGAGTTTTTCAAATTTGCTGACACGTTGAGGGCAGCACTTTAATGGCCTCATTTTTTAGGATTTTAAATAGCTCAGGTGGATTTCTATCACCTCCACTAGCTTTGTTGGTAATAATGCTTTCTAAGACCTGCCTGACTTCACATTCCAGGATGTCTGGCTCTAGGTGAGTGAGCACACTGTTATCTTTAGGGACATTAGTTAATGTTGGAACCAGGGACTTGAGGTGAGAGAGAAGAGAGCATCAGGGCCAGTTCTGGGAAGACCATCTTTCTGGTCTTCCTTGTTGCTTCTCTGAATCATCCCTGGACACTGGACTCATTCCTTCTGTGGCCTCTACTGCTCTTCTCTTATTTACTTTTCAGTTTCCCCAGAGGGAGCTTTTTAAACCAAGAGCTAATTATGCTGTTGTCTCTGTTTAAATGCCTTAAATGGCTCACTGGGTCATCAGGATCCGGCTCTTAATCCTTAAGGAAGCCTTGCAAGTCTCCCTCTTACAAACTCCTCCAGCCTTATCTCCTCCTTATGCCCCAAGGCAAGCTCGTGCACTTATAGCTCCAAGGAGAGTTCTCGGTTCTTTGCGTACAAGGCTCCCTTTGCCTGCAGCACCACTCCTCAATTTGCACACTCAGCCTGGAGAATTCCTACGTTTCACGTTTTGGTCTTGATGACTATCCCTTCCAGGATGTCTTCACTGACCCCCTGGCTGAGATGGAGGTGGGCCTCTCTGTCCTCCCATTTCACGTACTCTCAGCCTTGAGCCCTGTGTTGAAGACTCAGCCTCTTAAGGACAGGCTCACACTTCATTCATCTCTGGTCCTCGGGACCTGGCACAGGGCCAGGCAGCTAGAGGCCCACGGCAGGTGTTTATTGAGTGGGTTAATAAATTAAAACCTTGGAGGCATCAGTATTGTGGGAGGCAGTGTGATGCTAAATATTTGGCCCCTACTTTCCAAAATTCCACAAAGTCACATGAGCATGAATATACAGGAACTGATAATCCTTGTGAGGTATTCTCAAGTTCACCTCTACACAGTGTGCTGAGGAGTGTAACTGGTGCGGCCTTGGGAAATTAGTTAAGATCTGAAATCGTTAAGGAGAAGTTCAGAAGGGAGAATGTGGGCTGAGCCCTGAAACCTGGTTGATTCACCCAGGTGACAGTGAAGCTGAAGGGACCGAAAAGGGCTGTAGGGAAGTCCTGATATTAGGGAGGAGCCAGGAGCAGTATGACCCTTCTGCGGGTCAATGAGGAGGCTGGTCTGTTGAACAGAGGATTTGGGGTTGGGGTGGGGTGCGGTGGGAGGCAAAAGTCAGGCTGAAGACATGAGGCTGAACCTGACTATTCCCAGCCTACCACATCAGACCGAGGTGATACCTTTTGACGTAATAGGGGGAAAAAAAAAAAACAAACAGCTATGGAAGCCTTTCAAATGTGATGGTTTTACATAATGCCCAGGTAGAGTCAGCGGCTTTTGAGGTCAGTCTGGAAGTGCTGAGAAATCTAGTTGAGCAACCTTGATTCCAAATGGAGATGATTGTGACAGAAATGGAAATTGGGGCCAGGAGGATGTAGACAACTTCATCCTAGTGGAGATTGATGGTCCATGGTGATTGGAGAGGACCTGGTGACTGACTGAATATCAATAAAAGAAGTGGAGAAATTAGAAAAGGACCCCACAGAGTTGGTTTGGTGTGAATGGAAGGAGGGTGGCTCCCTTTACCTTGAGACTAAATGGTCTTTGAGGGATATACAGGTGGAGAAAATGACTTGAAAAGGGACACCCCAATGAGGTGGGGCCAGAGAGGAAGAAGGGCCAGGAAGTGGGAGTCAAACCAGTTCCACCGAGTCACAAAGAGCAGGGGAGAGGCCCGTTCGGGTGGGAGGAGTCATCTTTGATTCCAGAGACTTCTGAGCTCGGAAAAGTATGGAATGAGGAGACACCACTGGAAACCTTCTCGTTGTTGTTGCTCAGTCCCTAAGTCTTGTCTGATTCTTGTGACCCCATGGACTGCAGCACACGAGGCTTCCCTGTCCTTCCCCATCTTCCAGAGTTTGCTTAAACTCATGTCCATTGAGTCGATGATGCCATCCACAATCTCATCTTCTGTTGCCCCCTTCTCCTCCTGCCCTCAATCCTTCCCAGTATCAGGGTCTTTTCCAATGAGTCGGTTCTTCCCATCAGGTGGCCAGAGTATTAGAGCTTCAGCTTCAGCCCTAATCCTTCCAGTGAATATGCAGGGTTGATTTCCTGGTTTGATTTTCTAGACATAACATCAAAACAATCATGAAAATGGATTCAGCTTGTATGGAGTTAGGAAGAAGGGAAGTTGAAGTAGATGCATAGATTACTTTTAGGTTTTTAAAGTTTCGACATGAAATATGACAAAAGAGTCAAGTGAAAGCTTTTTTCAAGATAGCAGAAAAGATCATAGCTCCAGGAAGAAATATGGGATTGAAATCAGATAAGACAAGCCAAAAACATGGGAGAAAAAATCTTCAGGACAGCGATAAGGACACACCAGTGCCAGAACTAGAGTGAGGCACATGAGGGTAGTAGGCTATTTTCCTGGGGTGCAGAATTTAAGAGGGTACCAAAAACTCACCAATCAAATAGTATTTCAATAAATATTTTTTAAAATGTCAAAACCAATGCAAAAACTCACGATGAACAAAACATCACATTTTTGTTCACTGTGAATTAAAAAAAATTTTTTTTTCCTTCCCAAAATGGATCAAAACTCTATTGCAGACTTTTGGGGAGATATCTATGATTTTTAAAAATGATCAAAAATACATTGTGGATTTTAGGGGGAAATGCATGATGAGCAAAGTTTTACTATTATATTCTGTATGGATTTTCTTAAAGCATTAATTTAGATTTTTTTTCATTTATTTTTATTAGTTGGAGGCTAATTACTTTACAATATTGTAGTGGGTTTTGTCATACATTGACATGAATCAGCCATGGATTTACATGTATTCTCCATGCCAATCCCCCCTCCCACCTCCCTCTCTACCCAATCCCTCTGAGTCTTCCCAGTGCACCAGGCCAGAGCACTTGTCTCATGCATCCAACCTGGGCTGGTGATCTGTTTCACTATAGATAACATATATGTTTCAATGCTGTTCTCTCTAAACATCCCACCCTCGCCTTCTTCCACAGAGTCCAAAAGTCTGTTCTGTACATCTGTGTCTCTTTTTCTGTTTTGCATATAGGGTTATCATTACCATCTTTCTAAATTCCATATATATGTGTTAGTATACTGTAATGGTCTTTATCTTTCTGGCTTACTTCACTCTGTATAATGGGCTCCAGTTTCATCCATCTCATTAGAACTGATTCAAATGAATTCTTTTTAATGGCTGAGTAATATTCCATGGTGTATATGTACCACAGCTTCCTCATCCATTCGTCTGCTGATGGGCATCTAGGTTGCTTCCATGTCCTGGCTATTATAAACAGTGCTGCGATGAACATTGGGGTGCACGTGTCTCTTTCAGATCTGGTTTCCTCGGTGTGTATGCCCAGAAGTGGGATTGCTGGGTCATATGGCAGTTCTATTTCCAGCTTTTTAAGAAATCTCCACACTGTTTTCCATAGTGGCTGTACTAATTTGCATTCCCACCAACAGTGTAAGAGGGTTCCCTTTTCTCCACACCCTCTCCAGCATTTATTGCTTGTAGACTTTTGGATAGCAGCCATCCTGACTGGCGTGTAATGGTACCTCATTGTGGTTTTGATTTGCATTTCTCTGATAATGAGTGATGTTGAGCATCTTTTCATGTGTTTGTTAGCCATCTGTATGTCTTCCTTGGAGAAATGTCTGTTGAGTTCTTTGGCCCATTTTTTGATTGGGTCATTTATTTTTCTGGAGTTGAGCTGGAGGAGTTGCTTGCATATTTTTGAGATTAATCCTTTGTCTGTTGCTTCGTTTGCTATTATTTTCTCCCAATCTGAGGGCTGTCTTTTCACCTTGCTTATTGTTTCCTTTGTTGTGCAAAAGCTTTTACGTTTCATTAGGTCCCATTTGTTTATATTAATTTAGATTTTAAAAATTTCAATGAAAATATGATTGATCTTGATTACTGAGTTTTCAGTACCTCTTTTTTTTTATGGAGCATAATTGCTTTACAACGTTGCATTAATTTCTGCTGTACAACAAAGTAAATCAGCTGGATGTACACATATATCCCCTCTCCCTTGAGCCTCCCTCCCATAGTCCCTACCCCCTCCTATGGGTCATCACAGAGCACCGAGATGAGCTCCTGTGCCACACAGCAGGTGCACAATAGCTATCCACATGAAGCACGGTAGTGCATTTATGTCAACCCCAGTCTCTCCATTTGTCCATCCTCCCCTTCCCCGACCCCCACCACTATCCACATGTCCATTCTCTATGCCTGTGTCTCTGTTCCTGCCCTGAAAACAGATTCATCTGTAACAGTTTTCTAGATTCCATATATACGTGTGCATAGATGATATTTTTTTTTCTTTCTGATCTACTTTACTCTGTATGACAGACTCTAGGTCCATTTACATCATTACTGATGACCCAATTCCATTCCTTTTTCATGGCTGAGTAATATTGCATTGTATATATGTACCACATCTTCTTTATTCATTCCTCTATCAATGGACATTTAACTTGCTTCCGTGTCCTGGCTATTTGCACCCAATATGGGCATCTCACACCACTTATCCTGGCCCTGGCCCTGGCACAGGCAACAGTTCCCTAGGGTTATTATGCTTCTCTCTTGCTGAGCACCCCCAAACTAGTTGAAACACCCTCTTTGTACGTTTGCATGTTGGTACTCTTCCCCTTGTCCCTTAGCCCCAGTCCCTCTCTTCTTTGGCTCTCCTGCTTCTCCTGCACTCCATTTCCTGGGTCCCCCTTCCTGGTCCATCCCCATAGCCCCACACCTGGCCTCTCCTTCCTCCACATTCCCCACTTCTCTCAGCCTCTCTTGTGTCCAGATAGACCAGCCAGAGTTTGACGTTCTCCTCAAGCAATCGCAGGAACCGAATTATACCCAGGTAAGATGGTGTCACAGACAAAGGTCCTAACCTCTGACGCTGGAGAAAGGCAGGGGTTGATGGTGGCTGTGACTGAGGTTGCCTTTCCCTCAGATCCTGCGGGAATACCTGAATTACCTGGATCGCCTGGTAACCTTGCTGGGAGGAGACCAAAGCCAAGCGCAAAGTCACGCCTCCTTTTCCCTCGCCATTAACTCACAGCTGAACCAGATGCTGGGGTCTGGGGAGCAGCAGCGTGCCCAGGACAAGGTCTTCGAGATGGTCACAATTGACCAGCTGCAGGTGCCTTGAGCCAGGGACTGGGAGAAGATGGGCATGAGGGTCTTGCTCCCAAACTTTCTTGATCTTCACGTCTTCTTTCTCCTCACTTCCTTAATTCTTAGTCCATCCCCTAACTTTCCTGACTCCATCCTTTTCTCAACCACCCCCCTTCCCACTCCCTCCTCTATCCTGAGGGAGGGGAACCCCCCTCTCTTTTCCTGTCCCCCCACCCCCAACCTCTGTCTCTCTCCTTTAAGAGAATGGCCCCGACCATTGACTGGTTGTCCTGTTTGCAAGCGACATTCGCACCGATGGCTCTGAGCCCCTCTGACCGCGTTGCAGTCCATGACCTGGAGTATTTGAAAAGCATGTCGCAACTGCTTGCGGTGAAGCTGTCAGAGGACAGGTTTGCTCCACATTGGGGTGGGGGTGGTGGTGATGGAAAGAAAGTCTGAGGACCTGGAGGTCTCAGGGACAAAGGACACTGGAGGAGGCAGACTATTAAGGGCCTTGCAGGAGGATGGGAGCGATCCAGGGCCATGTGAGGGCAGGGAGGGGGTGGGATGGACAGCCTAGGAGGGCATAGAGGAAATAGGAAGAGGGGCTTGGAGGGCATGGGTCGAGAAAACACAGACGAAACGAGGGATCCAGGTAACCAGTAAGACACAGGGTGTGCTGAATGGAGCAGAGGACGTTTGCGGCATTTGTGTCTTGTCAGCAGCTGAGGGGTGTGGGTGAGAGAAGGAGGCACATGGAGGGGTTGGTGGAGGAGACAAAGGCTGGGGAAAGCTGGGGAAAGGCTGCTCCTCAGCTGTATTCGAGGATTCTGGGCCCCTTGTGGGAAAGATCAGGAAGGTCTTGATGGACCCTGAAGGTCGGGAGAGGGAGGCTGAGGCTCTGTGTTGGGCTCACTGCTGGCCCTGAGACTGTGTGGCCACCCCTCGGATACAGTGGCTTCCTCCCGGGACCTTGGGCTCAAAGCCATTCTTCATGGTAACTCAGTGGCAGCAACATTTAGAAGTTCCTTCAGAGGGAAGCAAACAACCATTCACACAGGTGCAAACCAATCTGTGTAAGGATAAAAGTCAAACCCAGTGAGAAAGTTGAGAGCAGGGCAGAGAAATGTCCTGGGTCCCAGCTTTGGTGTTCTTAGAAGATGCCTCTTAAGAGGAGCTGAGGTGTCTCGGTTGTGGAAGTATTTGAATCTGTTTTGTTAAATCGAAGTCCAGCCTTCTCCCCACTGTGGCTTGAGAGGTCTCCCTCTTCATCTGGTTCTTTCTTTTGTCATTCTCCACCGCCAAGCCAACCCACATCGAGCAAGTGTTAGTCATTCAGTCATGTCTGATTCTTTGTGACCCTATGGACCGTAGCCCACCAGACTCCGCTGTCCATGGGATTCTTCAGACAAGAATACTGGGGTGGGTAGCTATTTCCTGCTCCAGAGGATCTTCCTGACCCAGGGATCAAAGCCAGGTCTCCTGCATTACAGGTGAATCTGAGCCACCAGGATAGAAAAACTCTTCTTAAAACAGACAAAAGTTTTGAACAGTGGTTGCCAGGGGCTGAAGGGTGAAGAAATAGAGATAGATTGGTGAAAGGGTGCCAACTTTCTGTTATAAGATGAACACTAGGTCTCCTGCATTACAGGTGAATCTGAGCCACCAGGATAGAAAAACTCTTCTTAAAACAGACAAAAGTTTTGAACAGTGGTTGCCAGGGGCTGAAGGGTGAAGAAATAGAGATAGATTGGTGAAAGGGTGAAAACTTTCTGTTATAAGATGAACACTCTCAGGCTCCAGTATATTGGGTAGGCCAAAAGGTTTGTTCTGGTTTTTCTGTAAGATATTATGGGAAAGACTGAGGGCAGGAGGAGAACGGGGCGACAGAGGATGAGATGGTTGGATGGCATCATTCATTCAGTGGACATGACTTTGAGCAAACTGGGAGATGGTGATGGACAGGGAAGCCTGGCATGCTGCAGTCCATGGGGTCACAAAGACTTGGACATGGCTGAGCAACTGAACAACAGCAACTATGGAAAAACCTGAACGAACCTTCTGGCCAACCCAATATAATATGGTGGCTATAGTTGATAACGTATTACAGACAGAACTCATTTAATTTTGCTTTGCTGTATTTCACTCTGTTGTTGTTTGTTTGTTTGTTTGTTTGAACAAATTAAAGGTTTTTGGCAACCCTGTGTCAAACAAGTCTGGGGGCACCATTTTTCCAATAGCGTTTGCTCGTTTCATGTCTCTGAGTCACATTTGGGTGATTCTCATGATATCTCACCCATTTTCAGTATTATTTTAATGGTTAAAGAGATCTGTGATCCATGAGCTTTGATGTTACTATCCCAATCATTTTGGAATTTTTTTCACAGTGAAGTGTTTTTAAATTAGGGTAAACAAGAAAAAAAGAAAAGCTCTTCTTGACGTGTTCACATGTCGAGTAGTTATTCTCTATAAAGAAGGTTTCCCTCGTAGCTCAGATGGTAAAGAATCTGCCTGCAGTGCAGGAGACCCAGGTTCAATCCCCAGGTCGGGAAGATCCCCTAGAGAAGGAAATGGCAACCCACTCCTGTATCCTTGCCTGGAGAATCCCATGGACAGAGGAGCCTGGTGGGCTGCAGTCCATGGTTGTCGCACAGAGTCGGGCACGACTGAGCGACTAATATACACACACATACAAAGGGAGGGTTTTCTGGGGGCTTTCCCAGAGCCTGGAGTCTACCATCGGTCTCTTTTCTCTCCACAGGGGCATGCTGCAAAGCCACATGATCTTCGGGCTGGTGAAGATACTTTCTCCAGCCCTGGACAGTCAGTTCCAAGAGGCACACAGATCGCTGAACCAGAAATTGGGGGAACTGACAGGACACCCACCCATGGTGAGGAGAGCAGGGGAGGAATTCTCCCAGGTGGAGTGCTAATGGAGCATCTGCCATCTGGGGGGCACACATGGACATAGCTCCCTCGGCAAGGGGCGTGGGAACTAGATGTCCCCCAACATCTGGGCCTTCCGCAGAAGCCCTCAGCGCTTACACTGAGAGCTGGGATGCCAGGGAGCAGCACTTTGGGCACATGTCTGGCTACCTCCAGGGCCTTTTGCTGAGTATTAAAATCTAGATAGACAGCTCTAAGCTGATCAAGAACTGCTTTTCCTTTGCCGTGACCCCTAGACTATTTGCTGGGTTATCCTGAGCACAGTGACTTGAGGAGCTGGACGTACGACCTGGGGTTCACTGGAGTGAGACACGGTGTGGTGGGCAGGAGCCTTCGCTCCATCTAGGTGGTTCCAGTGTTCTGTGTCCAGATATGCTTCATCAGGAGCTCATCCCTGACCACCCCCGGGGTCTGTCAGCCACACTGTGGGCTTCGTGATGCCGATTCTGATATATCAGAGCACGGAGCTGTGTACCAAACATGCTCCACTAACCAAAGTCCACTCTGACGTACTCAGGACTGTGAACTTTGAAATCCTAGGTGGACACATCCCAGTGTAAGAGGAAGTATCTAGAACATTAGATGCCCTCCAGCCTCTGTGAAGCTTCAGGGCAGTCTTGCGCATCACTGGGTTTCTTTTCTTAGTAATTTGTGGATCATTTCTCTGCCTTGGAGGAATTCATGGCTTTGGCAAATCTGAACTATCTATAGAATTTGAAGAAGGGAATTGTAAACACGGGGTCTGGAATGTAGTTGTTGCCTATGGAGACTTTAAACTGTGCTAAGCATTTTTCTGAGCCCTTTAAATGTGGGAGTTGATTTGATTCTCACAGCAGTTCCATGAGGAGGACAGACCATGTGGTCCCTGTTTTATTGGTAGGTAAACTGAGACCCAAAAGTTAAGGATCTCACTCAAGGTGATATAGCTGCTGGGTTGTTAGAGCGAGGATTTGAACTCAGGCTTCAGTATCTGTGTGCTTAATCATTGCAAAAGACAAACAAAAAAACCTACAAAACACAAAACAAAAAGAATTAACTAGGATATTCCCTCAGGTGAGCTAGTCCCCAAGAGCCTTCTGCCCAGTCTTTCTCTTGACTCAGATGAGACAGAGCCCCAAGCCCTCATAGTTGGGATTGCTAGAAAATCCCCAGCAACAAACAACTTTGTGTAAAATCCAGAACTGTGGCCTGGTAGTACTTTTTGAAGGGTATAAGAATGCCAACATTGAAATTCACACTTAAAAAAATTTAGAAGGCTTACGAATTTCTAAAGTCATCACCCTTTGTACATACATACATATATCCTAAACGTATATATGTATATCCTATACATATATATATTATATAATCCTTATCTCTCTCCATTTGTTATTGCTTAGTTGCTAAGTCATGTCCGACTCTTGTGACACCGTGGGCTATAGCCCACCAGGCTCCTCTGTCCATGGGATTTCCAATGTAAGAATGCTGGAGTGGGTTGCCATTTCCTTCTCCAAGGGATCTTCCTGACCCAGGGATTGAACCCATATCACCTGCATTGAACAGGTGAACTCTTTACCACTGAGTCACCAGGGAAGCTTTTAGGATGTGTAATTGTCCTTGGACTTAAAAGCTGAGTCAGACTCTACCAACAGATAGTTCTGTGACTTGTTGAAGCCCTTTCCCTGGTCTGGAATGGCCCCAAATATGATGCCAAATATGATGGCACCACATAACAATAATAGCTGAAATAACGTTGAGTAGTTACTCTATATCAGGCAGTGCTTATTTTATTTACTACTCTCAGAAATGCTCTGAGGTCCTCAAAAGGACAAAGTAACTTTCCCAAGACCAAACACCTCGTAAGTGAAGAAATAGACTCTAGAACAGGTCTGCCTGACCTGTGAGGTCACATTTTTAACCGCAAAATGCAGAGTTGAGAAATAGTGGGTGGTAACAAAAAATGCCTTGGCAAATTCTTTCTATAAAGATCAAGAGAGTAAATATTTTTAGCTTAGTGGTCTATGTGACCTCTCTTGCAACCATTCATCTCTGTCCTTGTAACATAAGAGCTATCATATGCTCAGTAAATGAATGGGTATAGCTGTGTTCTAAGAAAGATCTTATTTAGATGCTCTCAGAATTTCCAAGAGCGAGAGATGAGGGTTTAAATGGTCAGGGAGATAGCTGAGCAGGAGGTAGGAAGTAAAGAAGCAGTGTCTAGGGAGAGGAAAGGGTTTTCCGAGAAAGGAAAGAATGTTGTCTCATTGCGACCAGGGAAGGCTAGCTGAAGCATGGTGCAGTGTGAGGGACCCTCTTGGTGGCTCTGGCTGAGAAGAGGTGACAGGGCTTGCTGGAAGGCTGTCCTGCTTGCCTGGGGGGTTGAGAATCAGCCTGGAAACCAGTGCAGTTGAAGCAGAGAAAGCATATAGAGTAAGAGTAGGGAGGAAATCGGGGCTTCCCAGGTGGCACAGTTGGGTAAAGAACCCACCTGCAATACAGAAGACATGGGTTCGATCCCTGGGTCAGGAAGATCCCTTGGAGGAGGGCATGGCAACCCACTCCAGTATTCTTGCCTGGAGAATCCCATGGACAGAGGAACCTGGGAGGTCACAGTCCACGGGGCCGCAAGGAGTCAGACGCTACTGAAGTGACTAAGCGTGGTGGGGGGAGGTAAGTGTGGGGAGAGGAAATCAGAGAGGGGAGGAGGGGATTGTACCAGGCCCTGGTCAGTCACCGTAAGGTCTTGGGTTTTTCTCTGCATGTAACAGGGGCCTGTAGAAGGATTTATCTATTTTATGTTTTAAAAGAACATATTCTGTAGGTAAGCAGCAGTCGCCTGATGGATGTTTGGTGTGAGAGGGGGAGTGGAGTCAAAGACACCATGAAACATTGGGCCTTAATTGGACCAAAATGTATATTTCTATCCAATGTTTATGAACTACAGCTGTCTCACCACATTCCTCTGAATGAACTCCAATTTGTAATGCTCTTATTCAGAAGGACTGTCAGGTCTCATCTGACCATATTTTGTTTATTAATTTTGGGTATATGTAGTCAGTGAAAATGGCTGTCAAGCCAAGTTTTTCTCTTATTAAACTTGAGAAGCTGAGTTTGGGAAATTAAAAGCAGAACTTCACATTAGTGCCTGTTAGGAGTGAACTATTCACGTTCACGCCAACATCTGTGTTTACTCAGGGGATTTCAGCCTTTGTTTTAGTGATCTGTGATTTCTGCTGTGGGTCATTTGTGGCTTTGCTTACTGCGTCTTCATCTAGATTATTGGTAAGATTCTGCAGAGGAAAGAGTATTGACTCAGGTTATTGAAGACCGGTGTAGTCAGCAATCCATTTATGCAACAAATATTAATTGAGTCCCTATTATATGCCAGACGCTTCTCTTGACTCTTTGGATTCTTCATGAACAAAATAGATAGAAATCTCTGTCCTCAAATGCATCTATTCTAACAGAGACAGAAAGACCATAAGCTAAATAAAATACATTGGATGGTATTAAAAAAAAAAGTGAAAGTGTTAGCCGCTCAGTCACGTCCCATTCCTTGTGACCCCATAGACTTGCCCTCCAGGCTCCTCCATCCATGAAATTTTCCAGGCAAGAATACTGGAGTGGATAGCCATTCCCTTCTCCAAGGTATCCAGACTCAGGATTCGAACTCAGGTCTCCTGCATTGTACACAGATTCTTTACCATCTGAGTCACCAGGGGGTGGTATTAAGTGTTATGAAAAAATAAAAAAAGGAAAGAGGGAGAGAGATACCTAGTGTGGACATGTTACAGTGTTCGGTGGGGCAGTTAGGGAAGCTGGTACTAAATTGGAAACATTAATCACTGACATTCCCTTCTGGGTCAGCCAGTTCAGAATCCACTCAAACAACACTGTTATTTAACATGGATTTCTCCACTGATTTCATGAGGACATAACTTATGGTTTTACCAGATGGTATCTTAAAAGCAAGATAGCACCAACAGAATGGAGTAGAACTTTAGAATTTACAGAGCACGTTCTGTGTAGTATTTCCCCAGTTCTCCCAAGCAGCTCTGTGAATTAGAACAGGCATCAGGCTCCTATATACAGCTTGTGTAATTGAAGTGCGAGGGTGTAAGTTATTATAGTAATTCACATTTAGTAAATGCTGAATTCTCTATGCAGAGGGAGAACTGCTGTGATCCTGGAGGATGAATCTGGCTCATGGGTGTGTTTTGTTGGACTCTAAAGATTTTACAAACTTTTAATGAGTGGCTGACTTTCAAAAATTAGGCAATAACACACAAAAAGAGTTCCAGCCCTTTTGGTTGTTGTTTTCAACGTGAGTGCTGAGTTAGCCTTCTCCCGGGGCAACAGATGACTGGAGCTGAGGGATGCAGCCAGTAGGCCTGGATATGGGTTTGCCATCACCCCTTCTGGTCCTGGGGTTCTGATGTTGGGCTGCTTCTGTTATTTATGGTAACTCACAGCCCCTATTTGAGTTTGTGACACTTGATCTACTTTTCATTCTAATTTAGTGCCCCTTTAAAAATGATGACATTTATTTTTAGTGCTATAAATATATTTATTCATACAGTCACATTACTTTTAAAAACTATTTTATATTGAACTATAACTGATTAACAATGCTGTGGTAGTTTCAGGTGAACAGTGAAGGGACTCAGCCGTACATATACATGTATCCGTTCTCCCCCAAACCCCTCCTCCCATCCAGGCAGGCACATAACACTGTTCAGAGTTTCCTGTGCTATACAGGAGGTTCTTGTCGCCCAGTCGCTCAATCGTGTCCGATTCTTTGCAACCCTATGGACTGGGGCCCGCCAGCCTCCTCTGTCCATGGGATTCTCCAGGCAAAGATACTGGAGTGAGTTGCCATTTCCTCTTCCAGGGGATCTTCCCAACCCAGGGATCAAACCCATGGGTTGAATCCACATCTCCTGTGACTCCTGCATTGGCAGCCACCTGGGAAGCCCTCAGGTCCTTGTTAGTTACCCCTAAAAATGATGATATTTGAAAATAATTTTGACATTATTAATTCCCAGTTATCCTCCACTGGCCCTCAGACTATTAGTCACTCAGCCGTGTCCTGAATACTGAAGTGAGTTGCCATTTCCTTTTCCAGGTAATCTTCCAGATCTAGGGATTGAACCTGGGTCTCCTGCATTGCCGGTAGATTCTTTACTGTCTGAGTCAGTGAAGCCACCAAGGGGCCCCAGAAGTTACACATTATTTTCCAAGTGTTCAAAAATAATCGGTTTAATGATTCATTCTAGAATTGTGTTTCAAAATGCACATTAAGGATTCCTGGCTCACCTGTAATCTCTAAAATCTACTTTCCCCTTACTGAAAATTGCACAGAAATCCGCTTCCCTCCAGACTCCTGGAGTTTTTCTTGATTTCTGTCATGTTTGTCATTACTCATGGTTCAAAGGTTATATCTGCAAATATCTTTCTTTCTTTTTTTTTTGGTTTAATTTATTCAAGTAGTTGATTTAGAGTATTTGTTCATTTCTGCGGTACACCAAAGTGATTTAGTTTTATATATATATAATTTATACAGCACGTTCTGGGTAGTATTTCCCCTGTTCTCCCAAGCAGCTCTCTGTGTGTGTGTGTATGTATATATATATACATACACACACACTGTTTTTCATAGCCTTTTCCATTATGGCTTATCACAAGATGTTGAATATAGTTCCCTATGCTATAAACAAGTAGGACATTGTTTATATACTCTCTATATAATAGTTTGCACCTGCTAATCCTGAACTCCCAATCCATTTCTTTGCTATTCCCATCCCTACAAATTTTTTTTCTGTTTCTTGATATATTGAGCCTCATTATTTTGGATTTGAAGTATTTCTTCCATCTTTTATATTTTAACAGTGATTTTTTTTCTCTTTCTCTACAATTAATATGATATACTCTATCATCTCACATTTTGAGACAACTCAGATACTGATAACCCCCAGCAGATTTATTTTATTCAAGTAGTTGATTTAGAGTATTTGTTCATTTCTGCGGTACACCAAAGTGATTTAGTTTTATATATATATAATTTATACAGCACGTTCTGGGTAGTATTTCCCCTGTTCTCCCAAGCAGCTCTGTGTGTGTGTGTGTATGTATATATATATACATACACACACATTGTTTTTCATAGCCTTTTCCATTATGGCTTATCACAAGATGTTGAATATAGTTCCTTATGCTATATACAAGTAGGACATTGTTTATATACTCTCTATATAATAGATTGCACCTGCTAATCCTGAACTCCCAATCCATTTCTTTGCTATTCCCATCCCTACAAATTTTTTTTTCTGTTTCTTGATATATTGAGCCTCATTATTTTGGATTTGAAGTATTTCTTCCATCTTTTATATTTTAACAGTGATTTTTTTTCTCTTTCTCTACAATTAATATGGTATACTCTATCATCTCACATTTTGAGACAACTCAGATACTGATAACCCCCAGCAGATGAATACATAACCTGTCAACCTCCACCCCTGAGACTTAACATTCATTTATAGATCCTGGAAGTTACTTTCCTGCATATAGAACATACGACTCAGCACAGTTGTGACCTGAATAGTCGCAGAGTGGTGCAGGGACAGCAGTGAGTGGCCCGAGGCGGTCTCCATATGCTTCAGGAACCAAGTCAGGGTCTACCACGGCCCAGGCTATGGGCCCTAGCGTGGAGCTGACAAAGCCTGCTAAGGGCAAGTGTCAGCAAAAGGGATCAGGAAACAACTCAAGAACCAGGAGGGGCAGACGGGGCAGGCAGAGCCTCATCATCAAGCTCAAGGCTCATGCGCTCGCTGCTGTTCTGGGTGCAGCCCTCCACCCCCTTCAGCTGTCTGCTGAGAAACAGTCTCAGAACTGAGCTTGTCCTCCGGAGGCTGCAGGAGATGAACCCAAAGGTGGCCAGCAGAGTCTGCACCTGTCCCCGGCATTGCTGTCAGACCCAGGGGCCTTTCTATTTGTTTTTCATGTTTGTGAGTTTCAGAGCATCAACTAATACTGTGTCAAAAGTGTCTGAGTCCCTACTCACCAGGAGAAGGTCCTTAATAGACCTCATGGTGAGGGGGCAGACAGGAACACAGAGACGTGGGCAACTGGGTCTGGAGCAACCTCCAAAAAGGTAACTATTCTAATAGGCAGGCCCAGGAGTGTCTTCAACAACAACAGTACTGGCCTTCCTTTCTCTTTCCTCTTCCATGGGAAGCCCCATAAGCAATCTCCAACCTTAGGACCAGAATGTATGGTGGCAGCCTACCCCACTTTCCTGCCAGGAGGCCCTGGCGGGTAAAGAAGTAACAGGAAGGAAGTCTTGTGACTTCATCCCACTCAACCCAAATCAGCATATTAATATGTTTTTCCTAAGTCCCTGCTCAGCTCTCCTCACTCTTGCTTCCTTGAATTTGTTTCTCACCTTCCCTGCGTCATCTCTTCAATGCCATCCACACCAGCATCTCTCTCTTGTTCCTTATTCTTTCCATCCTGCTGTTTGAAACCACCCTGATTGCCAAAGTCCTCTTTGAGTTTTTATCTATCTGTTTCTCCACCTTTGAAGATGTCCATCATCTCATCCTATATTTTTTAAAAAAAATATTTATTTTGTTTTATTTATTTGACAGTATCGGGTCTTAGTTGCAGCACACGGGATCGTCATTGCGTCGTGTGGGATCTCTAGTTGTGGCACTTGGACTCTCTAGTTACAGTGTGGGCTCCGGAGCACATGTGCTCAGCATTTGTGGTGTGGACTTCATTGCTCTCTGACATGTGGGCTCTTAGCTCCCCAAGCAGGAATCGAACCCACGTCCCCATCCCCTGCATTGCAAGGCAGAGATTCTTAATCACTGTACCACCAGGGAAGCCCCTCATCCTATATTCTTTTCCCTGATTTGGCAGAAAGCTCCTTAGGTCTCCAAATTGCATATATTTAGTCTTTTCTTTTTTCCTCTTCTCCTACCAAGGAATATGGTATTTAAAACTCAGTTTCACTCTGGGAACTTTCTTCTTTATAAGAGAAGGTCTTACCATTTGGGGTGGGGGGAGGCAGGAGGCAGGGAAAAATTTCCTTCTTCACTTCCTAGTTTAGGTAAAGAAGCTTGGGAAGAGGGGTGTCTTCAGTGGGATCCCTGAACCATGCGCATGGTGGGAGATGTGTGTGGTGGGCAGGGACGAGGTGGCAAGCAGACCTGCCCAAGTGAGAGGGTGGAGTCTGTGTATTAGTCGCCCAGTCACGTCTGACTCGTTGCAATCCCAGGGACTGTAACCTACCAGGCTCCTCTGTCCATGAGATTCTCCAGGCAAGAATACTGGGGTGGGTTGCCATTTCCTTCTCCAGGGGATCTTCCCGCCCCAGGGATTGAACCCGGATCTCCTGCATTGCAGGCCAATGCTTTACCATCTGAGCTACTAGGGTTGAATCCAGTCTTGTCCTTCCCAGGAGCCCTTTACTTATCCAGAAGGATGCCTCCCAGAGGCCTTGCTTTCAGATTCAACAGGCAATAAACAAGGATAGTTTGCCCAGCCCAGCCTCATGACTGATGCTGGAGAAACTCTGAGCCCCTCACTGCTTAGCACAAAAGCCCCATGTGTGTCACCAAAAGGGTTTATAGACCGAAAGGAGACAGACCCAGGAAGTCCAGAAAAGAGAACGTCCCCGGGGGAGAGGGTCTAGGCAAGACTGGCCCAGAGAAGTGGATGAGAAGAACCCTTGGCAGGAGCCGCTCATTCCAGCTTTGTCTCCGCAGCCGGCCCACCCTCGCTGGATGATGTGCATAGAGAAGACAGAAGCCTTCTTCGAGCCCACACTGGCCACCTTGTTCATCCGGGAGACTTTCAGACCCAGCACTCAAAGTGCTGTACGTGAGGGCTCCTCTTCAGCCGATGTCCCCCCACCCCTTCCCACCCAACCCATCTTCTCCACTTTGCCCTTCTTGCTGGTTTCCGTGGTCAGAGAACCAGGCAGTTTAGAGAATCCAGAGAGGGACACGCTACACCCCCAGAGTCTGCACGGTTTAGCTCCGAGACAGTCCACGCGGCACACACTAACCTGAACAAGCCTCCCAGCCTTACTGCTCATGTGTTTCCTCAACCATAAAATGAGAAAACTGAACTCCGTGACCTCTAAGCCTACTCCTTGTCTGTCTATGACTTTTGAACAACTTGTGAAACGATGTAAGAATGGCATGCTATCACTGCAAGAAGCGCCCACGGCAACTACTGAATGCTTACCAACGGCTACCATGTGCGTGGTACTCTTGCAAGCGATTTGCAAGACCTGCTTTAATTCCTGGCTTCACAGAGGGGTTAAGTGATTTGCCCAAGCCCACACAGGTACCCCAAATAGTGGAGTCAAGGTTTGAACTCAGGTTGCTGATGCTGTCATCTATTTTCCTCCATCTAGAAAGGAAATACACAGGATGGTAGATGGCGGAGGAAGTGCTAACTCCACAGTCAGGGTGTGAGGTTGGGATGGCTTTAGCTTGTTGGAAAGTGGACGAACCCAGGAAGATGGGGAGAGGAGATGAAGGCCTCCAGAAAGATGGTTTGAGGAGGGCTCTTGAGAGCAGAGAAGGGGATCGTGGTCCTCTTCCTCCCCCAGCCTTCTGAATGGATTTCCTGGCCAAAAGGATGGTGTCTCCCCCGCAGGCTGAGGTCTCCCCACAGAAAGGAGCTGTCTCCCCCATCGGTTCTTAGGAGGCACCCATCCCCACCTTCCTGTTCTGTGTTTGGTACTGCCTTTCCATCTCCACAGCTCTCTGCCCTGAGTTTTTGCTCACCTAGCAGATACCACTTCCTCTTTCTGAGGTCTTCCTCCTCCTGGCAGCTCCTCCAGGCCGAGGCCCATTCCTGGAGGGCCGGTGGGCAGGACCGAGGACTAAGACTGATCCTGATCTTCTCCCTGCGCCCTCCTGCCTGCAGGCCATGGAATTATTCACTGCCATCAAGGATACCTTCATCAGTCACCTTCATACGGTTCCCTGGATGGATGGAGAGACCCGGGCAGAGGCCCAGGACAAGGTAAGTCCAGGAGAAAGAGACAGCATGGGGCTGTGTAGTGGGTGTCAGCGGAGCGTGGGAACAGGAAAGCACGGTGACTGGGGGAGGGTGCTCGAGGCAAGTGTAACCACCAACGTGCCGCACGGACATCCTGATAGCACTCCCAGAGGAGGGGACAGGGCAGAGAACAGGAGAAAGTCCTTATGGTAGGCCCAAGGTCGCTGGAGTCCCCGTCCTTCCTGTCTCTTCCCAGCTTACCCAACTGCAGGTGAAGATGGGGCCCTCGGAATGGGTCCTGAAGCCAGACCTGGCCAGACAGGAATACGACGACGTGAGTCCCTGCCCTTGCCAGGTCCTTTCTAATCCTCAGCTTCCTCATCCCCTGCGCGACCTGAGTAGCAGACAGTCATTTTCCCTGGTTGACCCTAACCCACCCCTTCCCTGCCCTGGTGCTGGCTGGACTTGATGGCCGAGCAGCCACACGATGGGGCTTCCCTGATGGCTCAGTGGTAAACAACCTTCCTTACCAATGCAGGAGATGTAAAAGAAACAGGTTCAATCCCTGGGTGGGGAAGATCCCCTGGAGGAGGGCATGGCAACCCACTCCATTCTTGCCTGGAGAATCCCATGGACAGAGGAGCCTGGTGGACTGTATAGTCTGTGGGGTGGCAAGGAGTCAGACACGACTGAAGCGACTTAGCACACACAGCCACACTGTAGGTTTTGCCAGCAGGAAAACAGAGCTTTTTCAGGTCATGGTGAGTGTGTGTGCACACTCACACCCATGCATTTGTGTGACTTGCTTGAGTGTGTGTGTGTGTGTGTGTGTGTGTGTGTGTGCTGGTACATGTGACGCTGGTTTGCAGTAGCACATGGTGGTGTCCTGGCACTAGCTTTTCACTGTCGTGGGGATGTCTCAGTGTCAGGGCTTATCTGTCTGGTTCAGACAACCACATCAGGGTGTATCAGTGTGCGTCTACATTTGTCTCCATGTATTTGAGTCATGCCCTGCCTCCTCCCAGATACAACTTGGACCCAGCTTCCTCCAGACCTTCCTGAGTTGCTTCCGCTCCCGCCAAGCCAGAGTCATCCAGGAGTTCTTGCAGCCTGTCTCCAATCACAGGTATGAGAGCCGGGGAGACACAGACACCACATCCCAGAGAGAGCTGTCGGCAATTCCCAGGAAAGAAACAGAGGATCGGGGCAGCAGCAGCAGTACTTCAGAAAGGACTGCAGGTAAATGATGGAGCTGGAGCTCAAGCGTGCTCTTCCCACAGGTGGCAGGTGCCCCCCTGGGGCCTCAAGGCTTACTATTCGATACCTGACCACATGATGGTCTTCCCCGCCGGACTCCTCCAACCCCCGTTTTTCCACCCTGGCTACCCGAGGTATGGGCCATTCTCTGAGGTGGGCAGGAAGTCTCCTGAGAGTCATGGACCAGTGTTACGATGAATGATGGATGGGACTTGTGGTTGGAGAACAGGGACCAAACCTTGGAAGGATTCTGAGGGTCAGACGAGTCCTTGTCTCCCTAGAGCTGTGAACTTTGGTGCCGCTGGCAGTATTATGGCCCGTGAGCTATTGCACATCTTTGACCGGCTCTGTGAGTAGCAGCAGGCCACTGGCAGGTGGGGCCATCGGGAAGGCGGATGAGGTCCCCAAAGTCGACCCAGAGCAGGAGGCAGGGAGGCAGGGAGGCTGTGCCAGGGCTCCAGGTGGGCGTATCCTGCAGCTTTCACAGCTCCCCCAGGAGCCAGTGCAGTTTGCAGAAGACCCACGTCTTCACCCCGGCATCATGCCTCACCGTTTCCCCTGCTTGCCCCCATTTTCAACAGTACTCCCTGGGGGCTGCCCGGCCTGTGACACCCGTGCCCTGCAGAAAGCGCTGCTGTGCCTGGAACGCCTCTACACTGCCTTACCGTCACCCAAGGGAACCTCCTTCGATGTCTCCCGCACGCTCCTGGAGGATGCTGCAGACGCCGGGGCACTGGCCGTTGCGCTGGAGGTAACACATCCCAAGGGCTGGGATCTAGTTTTACCAGCAGAATAGGCAGCCTGTCACCAGCGTTTCCTTCCACCATCCCTCATGCAAACATGGCAAAGCTTTCTGCCCTTCACATCCCTACTGAACAGCTGGCAACTTGAGGACTCCCCCCATCCCTCTCCACAAGCCCTCTTTTCCAGGATATCCATCGATCTTACAGCAAGGATGTCTTCTCCCGGCTCAGATCAGGCTCAGGGCTGAACTTGGGAAGAAGGACCAGAGCTGGTTTTGGATATTGTATATAGGGCATCAGACTTCCAGTTGGGTACGGGTCTGGAACCTAAAGACAATTCTCCATCCCACTCTCATATCCAGGCATACAAAAAGAGGCTAGTACTGTTCCGTGGGGAAACCATCCTGCCTAGCCTAGACCTCAGCCCCCGGCAGCTCTTCTTCCAAAGCTATGCCCAGGTAAGCCGCCGACATCTCCCACTAGGGCTTAATCCACGTCAGATAAATACCCTCCCGTTAATGCTCAGAGAATCTCTCCTGCCTGAAACATCTCCTGGCAATGTCCCCAACCCTCTGCTGCACAAATCCACACTGTCACCCTTTCACACAAGTGCCCTGGGGACCATCCTTCATCCTACTATAAATTCTTCTACTGAGTCTAGCACTCCCTTCAAAAAAAAAGAGGAAAAAAAAAAAAAAACTTCATTCCTAAATTCCTCCTTGAGATGAGACCAACTTTTGTCTTCTCTCATTTCTTCTAGAAATACAGACCCCTTCCAAAAGAGCCTTAACAGACTATCCACTGATTATATTCCTCCTAGGAGACCCCACCCCTAGGTGGGGTCCCTACCTGACATATCCCCCCGCCCAGTGCCATGTATTCCTTCAAAAGACACTGTCCCCAGTTCCCCAGGGCACTTGAAGACCCCCACAGAGTTCTCACAACAGACCTGCCTCTAGGGCACTTTTAGATGTTGTGATGACACAGTTCCGACCTCACCAGATACCCGCTGCCAGATTAAATGACTTACAAATGGCAAATATCTTCTTTCTCCATGAGGCCCTTGGAGCACCGCTGTCCCTGCTTTTGTCTTTGTCTGCTGTCCCTGGTCACCAGGTCTGCTGTGTCCTGATGATCTCCTCACCCTCTCTGGACCTCTTTTTCTCCCCAGGTGATGTGTAGGGACCCCAGTACCCAGGATCCTCAGGACATTCACAGCCCTCCTACCCTTCGCGTCCACGGACCCCTAAGCGACAGTCCAGCCTTCGCCAGACACTTCCACTGCCCCCAGGGGACCCTCCTGAGCCCCTCCCACCGCTGCCAACTCTGGTAACCTGGCCGGCTCCCAGAGAGATCTCAGTACAGGTGTACCGGCATCTCTGCGCCCCATCCCTGGAACCAGGGCCAACACCTCCTCTGCCCTTCCATGCCAAAAATAAAAGCTGGCCCTTGGCTTTTGCCTGTCTCTTAAGAACATTTTCCTGCTGGGGCTGGAAAGTCAGAAAAAGTGAGAAGGCCAAGCAGAGTTCCATGGATGTGAGCTAAAGAAGCTAAAGTTTGGTGGGCCAAAGGCTGCGTGACTCAGCAGACTGGTTAGAAACAGAATGAAACCACCCCCAGTTGTTTACAGGAGTTGATTGATATCACTTTTATTGTTGCTGCCTCCTCTCCCCGGTCTGTTGAATAGAGCCGGGAGAGGCTAGGGGAGAGAAGGGCAGGGGTCTGGTGTCTTGGCTCTTGGAGATGGCACTCAGAGCGTGGGGAGGCAGGTGGGCAGTGGCCGTGGGTGGCCCACAGGCCAGCAAGGTGTCTCTCTGATGCTGTGACCCCAGGGAGAGGGCCGCTGGCAGGAGCCAGAAAGCCACGTGTTCGTCTCCCTTGGGAGAAGCACCCTGGAGCCCCGGGGAGAGAAGGTCAGTAAGCTATCATAAAGCGGAGGTAGATGTCCAGGTCCTCATCCAGAAACCAAGCCACCACCTCCGCCTCAATGTCCCTCATAAAAAAACCATGATGCTGGCCAGGTTAAAGCAGAAGGCGAAGTCAAACAGGTGATCATGGATCGCCGCCACCTCCGAGGTCTTGTCATCCTCCTGCTGGGCCATGTCCACCACATGCCACATCTCGCCCACCGAGGAGGCCATGAAGCGCTCTTCGAACTGTTCTCGATCTTGGTCTGGAATGGGGCAAGGGGATGGCACGAAAGGAGGGGTTCTGACTGCCCTCCCCCTGGCCCTGCACTGCCCTGGAGCCGAGAAGGAATTGGGGAATGTGGGTACCCATCGGCCCACACCCTTGCCCTTGACCACAGAGGTGATGCTCCTGGCAGGGGGTGGGGGGAGGTTCAGTCTCTTCTGGTCCGTGTGCAGCCCTAGTCCCCACTCAAGGACTCACACATCCCACTTCCAATGCAAACTGCCTCCTCCAAAGTGCCACCTCATGTGGGGAGTGAGGGGCCGTCTCAGAGAAGGATGAACTTCAAAAACCCTCTTTCCGTCTCCACAGGGTCCCATGCACATCAGCTGGCCCCAGCATGCCCTGAACAGGGCTCTGGCCAGGAGCCGTGGCTCTAGACCCTTTGCAGGACACTAGCACTGCAGCAGTACAACCAGGCCCGGGGCGACCGCCCATAACCCAAATCTAGCTCAGCTTCCCCTCCGGCCTGACCGGTGATCTGGCTCCACAGAGGCCTGATCCCCATCTCCAGGCGTCCTCCTCCTTCTTCCCCTACCTGTAGAGGGTGTCTTCTCTTTCTGACTCCTCTCATCTAGGCCTGGGCTCCCTCTCTGGGTCTTCACCCCCTTGACTCGCAGCAGCAGCAGGAGGGCGCCCAGGAATGCTGCCCTGCAGAGCTGGGAGCCCGAGGAACTCATGGGCCTGCCCAGCCCCTGCCGTCGGTCTTCCCACGTCCCAGTGCCCAGCTGGTCACCCCCCTGCTCCCTCCCCTGTCCGCTGTCCCGGCCCTTTCCCTTTCCCAGCACCGTTTCCTCCCTTCCCTTCCAGCGGACCTCTGATGTCATGAGCTCTGTGACATCACAGCCGTGGCCTCGACGCTCATCCCAGCTCCCTGGAGAGTTCCATTGGCAGGCAGGAGCATGGAGAATAGTCCGCAGGGGACAATAGAGGCTCCGGGGAGGACCGCAGTGGACCTCAGCAGTGGAGGGCCACGGCAGTCACCTAAGAGTCCGTTCAGTCCTTTTAATGCCATTATGTCATGAGATCCACGTGGCAACCAGGACTGAGGCCATTATATAGATGAAGAAACGGAGGTGCACAAGAGAAATGACTTGCCCACTGAAGGTCACACAGATAATAAGGTGCAGAGCAGGGCTCTTGCCGATTCTTTAGATTCTAAAGATCACACCTTCCCACCCCACTCTTCTGTGCGGCCTTTCTCAAAAGAAAGCGACTTGCATAAACCGAGGCCCAGACCCATGTCGAAACGAGTCTCTTCAAGTCCTGGGCTGTGCGTGAAACTCAGGTCCATCCAAAATGAGGGCAGGGGAGGACCTAATTGGAGGAGGAGGTAGGTACCTGCTTCGGGTGTGACAGCAGAGTGCTCCGGACCCAAGTGGAACCACGCTCTCATTCCTTGTCCTCCCCTGGACTATCCTCAGTCCTAGCTTTGCCCTCTGGTACTGACAGGCTGAATGCGTCCTGCCTCATTTCACACCCTCCTGTACTCAGACAAAGCTCTTAGAGACTCGGTGTCTAAACTCAGTCTCTAAAGGGGGGGAGGAAGAGAATCTTCATAGAAAAACCAGCATGGCAGAGGCCAGGATCCCAAGTAACCGATCTTAAGAAACCTGCCTTCATGTCCCAGGGCCTGCCCTGCCCATAACCCTGGTGAGCACAGACCTGTTGGCAGTAATTGGTTGGGGCTAACTGACATCTGCTTCCTGGAGCAGAGGGCTGGGGAGATGGGATGAAGGCCAACTCTGGAAAAACCAGAGCCAGACACAGGCCATGAGGGACAGCCAGGTGCCAGGACTGTGAGCTCACATCACTCCCGGCATCCACACATGCACGCCTGAATGAACCATCAAATGCAGGGGTGAGACGTGTCCAGAATGCATGCTCTTCCTGAAAGGGGGCAGATGGCAGGGCCAGCAGAGCCTCCTTCCCAAGGATGCCGCCCGCGCCAGCCGATGGGCTTACTGGGAGACTCTCTCCTGGACGGCCGACACAGCCTCCTATATACTTCCATGATCCAAGCCCCGTGACAGGTGAGTGGGGAGCAGTCCAAGAGTCACCTGATGACGGGAAAGGCAAGCTTCAGTAAGCGGGTGACCCTGTTCACCCCGCCCTTGCACTCCTTGACCTGCAGGTCCAGGAAATGCTGCTTGCAGGGAAAGAAATCACTAACCTCCTCCTGGCTATTTGGGGGAGGAGCTCCTGGGTTTCTGGCTAACTGAGAAGCCATCTCCAACTCTGTGAGTTTGGACGGGGCGGGTGGTTGGGGTTGGGCCTATCTTAGGGGAGCAACTGGAGATGAAAGGACCAACTGGCTGGCACAGACCACCACAGCTCTAATTTCCTCTCCAGACACCTGCCCGACACCTTGTGCCTAGGAGATAAATCTTCATAGGAAACCAGGAATCCCTTCATGCGTAGTTTTTTTTTTTCTTAGTACAAAAGTATATTTAAAATTTATGAAAAAAAGGCAAATAATTCCACCATCCTATGCCAATTCCTCTTCATATTTTTAAAGATAGTATTCAGATTCTTTCCCTACAGGGCTGTGGGCAGGTAGGGTGGGAGTGTATGACCTAAATATTGAAGTCCAGGTTTACATGTTGTCTTCCTTTCTGGGCTCCCCTGGTGACTCAGACGGTAAAGAATCCACCTGAAATGCGGGACACCTGGGTCCGATTCCTGGGTTGGGAAGATCCCTTGAAGGAGGGAATGATTACCCACTCCTGTATGTCTAGCCTGGAGAATTCCATGGACAGAGGAGCTTGGTGAACTACAGTCCATAGGGATGCAAAAAGTCAGACACAGCTGAGCGACTCACACTTCGCTCCTTGTCATGTCAGAATAAGAGGTCTGGTGCCTTTGATGTCAACGGGCTCTGAGATAAAACAGTGAGGTTTTATCAGGGGCCCTGGACCAGCTCTTATCTACTCTCGAGAGACCCTGGGGCATCACCATCATGCAGGGAAGCATCTGCCTGCGGGAGGGAGGTTGTAGGACTCTTGGCTTGCAGAAAGCTCCCAGAGGATGAAGACTGATGAGAGAAGGGAGGAGAGGGTGGCCTTGCAGGACCTGACAAAGGGGATGGAGGACTGGGGAGAGTAGCCAGAGGACAGAGGAGGAGAGAGCTCCCTAAAGATAAGGAAGTGAAGTGAAAGCCACTCAGTTATGTCCGACTTTGCGACCCCCTGGACTATCCAGTTCATGGCATTCTCCAGGCCAGAATACTGGAGTGGGTAGTCTTTCCCTTCTCCAGGGGATCGTCCCAACCCAGGGATTGAACCCAGGTCTCCCTCATTGCAGGCACATTCTTTACCAGCTGAGCCACAAAGGAAGCCCAAAGATCAGGAAGTCATCTCTAAATCTCCAGCCTACCAGGTGGGATGAGGGGACAGTTTGTTCTCCTCCAGGAGGCTTGTTCCTGTCCTCCCCACCCCTCCTGAAGAGAACACTGCAGACAAAGGCGTGTGCAAGTGGGAAGGGAAGATCCAGAGGCAGAGGGCCCCCTTCCCTCCTCCAGGACCCGAGGACCATGCCCTTGGTGGCCAGCCTGCGCACCTGCTCTGTGCGGCTCTGACCGGGCCCTCCCGCCCCCACTCCCTCCAGGACTAGCATTATGGGCTGAGTATTACTGGGCAGGCGCTCCTTTCCTCTGCAGCCCTGCTTATCAGCATATCTACACCCCCACCTCACCACTATCACTCCCTCCATCTCCTTAGACTGGAAGTCTCAAGGCTTCGGAGATCATTACAGCCACACACTGCCCCACCCCCTAGCAAAGCAGAAAAATGTCCCGCAAGGTGACCCCTCCCCCTTCCCAGCCAGCATCTGCCCCCTCCCTGGGGGAGGCCATGCTTCCTGCTGTCTCAGGCACCTCCTCTTTCTTTCCTTACTTATTTTCCTTTCAGTTCTCATACTTCTCAATAGGTGGTTTTGTCCATCCTTCAGCCTCTAGAGAAGCACTCTCACTTTCCTACAGCAAAGGAAGTGAGGGGTCCCTGCCCCAGAAGATCCCCAAGGCAGAGGGTCCCCAGCCTATCTCCACCCACACCTCTCATCTTTATAAGCAGAAGGTTCCCAAGAAGCAGTGTGGTCTGACGGGTGACTTGGACCTGAGGTTCCACCTGGCAAGCCAGCTCCAACTTTGCCTCCCACCGGCCGTGGGGAGTCACATGCATCTCTCTCTGCTCTGTCTTCTCACTTAGGAGCTAGAGAAGCTTCAGCCTGCACCCAGGGAACTTGGGGATCTCTTGAATGACTACAGTTCAGGAGGTATATCTGAATATATCTCTTTGGAAACAATCAGGAAGAAAAATGGAAACTGTTATATCATAAAATAATTTAACACTGTCTTATCTTTACTCGTGCTCCTCCTGTTGACTCACTCCTGGAGGGAGTCCTGTGATTTCCTCCACCGCCACTCAGTCCCTGCTGCCTGGCCTCTGTGGATGTGCAGGGCTCGCTGGGGTCTCCTCTCCCTGGAAGGGAGGAGCTGGAACAGAAGAGGAGGCCCTGGGCTTCTCCAGGAGGAGGGGCAGCCAGGAGATCCGCTGGCTGCGGGGCTTGGGGTACTAGGCAGAGCAAGCAGTTCTGGGGGCTTTTGAGCCCTTCTGTGGAAGAAGAATCAACTGTCCTTGAGCTGTTATGATTATGCTTTACAGACTCTGCTGTGAGAGCATGTAAGTATCACCCCGATTTTACAGATGAGAAGACGGAGGCACAGAAAGCTCACCTAACTGACCTGCAAGGACCGAAAGCCAGGATTCAAACCCAGACCTGCCTGACTGCAGAGCTGGAGGGCTTTGCTTCTCTACTCTCCTGCATCCGAGGTAATTGCTCAGCTGGCTTGTAGGACCCACCTTTGGGCTCGATCCTGGCTCCCAGGTCAGATTCCTAGGCCCCACCCCTCCCCTGGCCCGGCCTCAGCCGCCCTAGCTCACTGATAGGAACGAACTCCCTCCCCCCGCTGGCTCTGAGGCAGGCTCTGTGCCCCAGGGGCTTTCTCTACAAAGAGCTCCTCCCCTCCAGGTAAAGTCTCTCTCTCCTGGCAGGGCCCCCAGTCCCCCAGTCCACGTGCATACCCCCGCACAGCGCCACGCCAGATCCACTCGCGACCCATCCCTCCTGCTCGCCTCCGCTTCAGCTGCCGGCTGAGTCCTAGCCCTGCTCCCTTGAACCACCTCCTCCCCGTGACTGGCCACTGCCTGGAAGGAGAAGACATGGGAGCGCCTCCGTCCAAGGCCAGGGGTCTCTCGATCCAACTCCAGAAACTGCTGACCTCCTGGCTGGTGGGACAGCAAGACTGGGATCAGCGTCTGGACGAGACGTACATGCTGCAGCAGAAGAAGTAGGCTGCCCCCCTCTCCCTAAGCCTCAAGCCCTCCACCCACTTGGGTCGGTCTGCCCTGCCCACCAGAGCACCCCAGACTTCAAGCCCGGTGCTGGGATGGACCCGTGCATCTGTTACAGAAGCCCAGCTCCTGTGTCAGCAGTGGAGGAGGGGTGTGGCATTGGGTCCCGGGAAGGCTGGGGCAGGGTGATGCTGGGGCTCTTGCCTAGTGAAGGTGGGGGTGCTGGGGACCCAAAGATACCGGACGGGAGAAGCCAGCATGTATGTCGGGTGTAGCTGGGGCAGGCGGGGGCAGGCGGGTGCAGGCTGGCAGGAAATGGGGTGCTAGGGAAGGGTTAAGATCCTGTGGATTTTAGGACACTCATTGGGTGAAGAAAGAGTGAGGAGTTACTGTTAATGAGAATGAAATTGACGACCTGGCAACAGGGGACAGCTCTGGTTTGTGCAACACCTGGAACTGACCAGCTGACCGTGGAAATCAGGCGACCCCGGGGAGTCCCAGTGGGGACTCCTGAAGCCCATCTGCATTTCCTGAGTCTCCTGTGTGCAGGCTGTGCTAGATCCGGAGCAGACAGTGAGGCTTGAGCCTGTCCCCGGGACAGCTCCAGTGGGACTGGTGACCCCGAGGGGCACAGCACTTCATGGTCAGCCCTGAGGTCCAGACCCCCAGAAGACTAATGGGGCAGGGACCCATCCTGATGGCAGGCTTCTCCCTCGGGGTGTTTGGGGGATTTGGCTCCCGTCAGAGAGCTGCCGTTAGCAGATCTGAGCGGGCAGCCAGGACTAGACTCATAGGCAGCGGCTTTTCCAGGCCAGAGGCCGGAGCACGGAGCTGCGTGCAGAGCCTCTGGACCCTGCAATCCTGGCCCTGGTTGCCCTGACCTGGGCATGCTCACACGGAGTGTGTGGGTGAGATAGGCAATAGGCTGGTCCCCACTCCACCCGTTCTCTCTGGAGAGAAATTCGGTGAGGGATGGACCTGAGTTCTACCTTGAGATCAAAAGCTTCTTCAGACAAAAAGCTTCTTTCCCCTGGCTCGGGGGGACCATTGGAAGCGAGGAACTGGGGGCTAGGGGTCATCACGGGAACCACCCACCGTCAGTCTGTTTACCGGCCTTTCACCCCTCCCCTCCTGACCCTCAACCTGCCATCCATGTGTCCACCTTCAGCACATACTTGCCCAGCAGGAACCGGCTTCGGCATTATCTCTTGTCTGGCTCACCCAGGCCGGAGAGAGACAAAGATTAACCTGCAGAGGTACCACAGGAGGACTATCTCCGTGAGGCTCCTCCCGCCCACTCCAAGATGCGCACACTCAGAGAAGCTCACAGCCATGCTCTTGCCTGGCCGCAGACAGCGCATTCAGACTCTTGAGTCAAAGGGTGACACTTAGGGAGGGATGGAGCCCTCGTAGTCCACCTCAGGACTCCTTCCCCGCAGCAGGAATGTGCATCTGGACAGCCCCCGGGGAGTCGGAACTCCAGCAGCTCACAAATCTCCGAGTCCTAATAGCTGGCCTGTCTCTCAGCCCCCTCCCGGTCTCTCCGGCTCCTCTCGGCTAAAGAGAGCCGGTTCAGCAGGCCTGGGAGCAGGGATGAAACCGGGCAGAAATTCCCTCTCCTCCACCCACTCCCGATCCCCAAGTTCCTGAGACATGTACTCAGCTAGATTGACTTGGCCAGGCCCACCAGGACCACCCATTCCCTGGGCCGGGCCCTCCTCCCTCAGGCACTCTGCTCCTTAGTCAGCTGAGCCAGGAGTCCCCCCACCACCGGTGGGAAGAGGTAGCGATGCCACCCCACGGGGACCCTGAGCCAGACTCTTGCCCCTATCTGACCCCGAGCTAGAGTCCAGGAGACAATGCTGCAACATGTCACTGCGCATTCTGTGTGGCCACTGTCTGTCCAGGCGGACACAGTCTTTCTTCCTCTCTGCTCTGGGCCTTTCTGCCATTCTGTCTCTGCCTGACTCCCGTTCATCCTCTGCCAGGATTCGAGAGTCTCCTCTGCTTCGGGCAGCCAAGGACAACGACCTGTGTGTCCTGAAGAAACTTCTGCTGGACCGAAACTGTGACTTCCGGCAACGAGGTGGGATCAGAGTTTGATGTGATGGAGATCGGGCAGAAGCCCCAGCACTTGGAGGGTTTCTGCTGAGGGGCGGTGGAGTGTGTCTCTGGGAAATCTTGATGCCCCTGTCTCCTCCACTCCAGGGGCCGTCGGGGAGACGGCACTGCACGTGGCCGCCCTCTATGACAACCTGGAGGCCGCCATGGTGCTGATAGAGGCTGTCCCCGAGCTGGTCAAGGAGCCTGCCATCTGTGAGCCATTTGTAGGTGAGGCACCTCCACGGTTTTTCAAGGTGGACGTAAGTAGGGGAGAGTCTGAAGTCACCTCTTACAATGAGCCTCTGAGGTCGGGGAAGAAGTGATGGGTGCTCAGGAGTGTGGGAGGAAGGCAGAGGTCCTGGTCTTGGCTTTGAGTGTCTGGGACCTGCTTTAGCCATTTGTTATTTCCCTTCAACTCCTTTCATGTTCTGTGAAGAACAGAACTCTCTCTTTCAGAGCTGCACTAGAGTGATTACCCTTATATGCCATCCCCAGTAGTCAGGAGGCGGGGACCACTAAGTGAACCCACCTGAGGGACATCTGGGGCTCAGTCTCACACCGTTCTGCTGAGTCAAGGATGGAAATCCATGCAAGGATGTCAGGGATCTCCTGGAAGCCAGGGGGCATGCTGTGTCTCCGAGAGAGCTGGGAACAGTCCTGACGGAGGGCTCCCTTGTCCAGGTCAGACGGCGCTGCACATAGCGGTCATGAACCGGAACGTGAACCTGGTGAAAGCCCTGCTCGCCCACGGGGCCAGCGTCTCTGCGAGGGCTGTAGGCTCCGCCTTCCGCCTCAGTCCTCACAACCTCATCTACTTTGGTGAGAGCCAGGACAGGGGCTGGGAGGACGAGGAGGGGGGCACCAGTCAAGGGAGGGTGGGCTGAGAAGCCTCCGTGCCTGGGGAAGCTGGGAGGGGTCCGCCCTCAGGGCCGAAGGCCAGAGCCAAGCCCCCACCCCCACCCCGGGGCCCCCTCCAGCATCCCCGCCTCTGGTCCTGCTGACGAGGGTCCCCGGAGACAGGGGAGGGAGAGGCGGTCGCTCAGAGACACTGCGCATCCCCGCCTGCATCTCACGCCCGCCCGGGCCTCTGCATCCCCAGGGGAGCACCCTCTGTCCTTTGCCGCCTGCATGGGCAGCGAGGAGATCGTGAGGCTGCTCATTGAGCATGGCGCTGACATCCGGGCCCAGGACTCCCTGGGTAAGAGCTGGGCTGGAGGGGGCGCTGGGAGGCTGGGGGTGGCAGGGGAGGGGCTGGGACTCCCCTCAGGCCCCCCCCCGGGGGGTGGTCCTGGGGAACAGCAGGGACTCTGGTCCCAGGGGTCACGTGACACCCCGTGTCCTCTCCCAGGAAACACAGTGTTGCACATCCTCATCCTCCAGCCCAACAAAACCTTTGCCTGCCAGATGTACAACCTGCTGCTGTCCTACGACAGGCGAGGGGACCACCTGCAGTCCCTGGACCTCATGCTCAATCACCAGGGCCTCACCCCCTTCAAGCTGGCCGGAGTGGAGGGCAACACTGTGGTGAGGGGCCCTCCCCCAACCCCACGGGGATCCTTCCCCTGATCCTTCTTCCCAAACTCCCCAAAAGGGTGGTGGTCCCTTACCTCCATCTCCATCACTAAAATCCTCAGCCTCAGAAATTTCTGACTCTGGGGGATTACAGAATCTTACCTGAGAATATCTGCTATGGTAACCCAAAGTTCCACTCCCCTCGCCTATTCTGTCCTTTCAGATCTTTATAGGATTTGTGGGAAGGAAAGACAGCCCCAAATTAAAAGGTTCAGGTCAACAGAGGCTTGTCAGTTCCCAGCTGTCCATCAGACCCAAGGAGTAAGTAACCATGTTGTTGCCCTTGACCTGCTCCTTACATGCTGACCCCCGTCTCACCCGTGTCCGCCCAGATGTTCCAACACCTGATGCAGAAGCGGAAGTACATCCAGTGGACATGTGGGCCGCTGACCTCTACACTCTACGACCTCACGGAGATCGACTCCTGGGGAGAAGATGCGTCCTTTCTAGAGCTTGTGGTATCCTCCAAGAAACGGGAGGTATGGACACCATGGAGGATTAGGGGCTTTCAGGAGTCTGTGCAGAGCCTGTCTGTTTGCCAAGATCCTCAGCTTCAGAGGCTTCCCAGTAATAGATGGGGGTGAGGATAGACTCCTGGGACTTTAGGAGAACTTGCCGATCAATACCGCTTCCCTAACTCCGCTCTCTGCTTAGCTCTGGTCCCTTCTGCTTACCTTTCTCATACTAACACTGCATATGAGGAGTTCTCCAGATAGATGTTACTTCCTATCACTTATTCATTCAGCATATTGAGCTTCTTGCTGGGTCCCAGACACTGTACCAGGAACTGAGAGTACAGAAATAAATTAAAAAGCAGTTCCTTTCAGACAGCTTTGTCAATTTCCCAAGCCTGTTCTCAGTAACTATAATAGCCTGCAAGATAAAAGATCACTGGGGTCTGTACTATGAATGGTACATAATGGTGCAATGGTACATGATGGTGCAACAGAATGGAGGTTGGCTTATGTTGGCTTGGATGGACCAGAAAAGATGTTACAGGAGATGTGCTTGAGCTGGGGCTTCTAGGCAGAATTGGGAATCACCAGGCAGATAAGGAAAAAGAGAGCTTTCCAGAGAGGGAAAAACGCATGGGTCATTCAGACAGTATTGGATTGGGTGATATGAGGGAAAGGAAACTTTGTTGAAGATTTATAAAAAGAAGAAAATACTGATGCTTTCTGGAACCTCCAAGATGGTGGCAAAATACAGTTTTTACTGTTTATCTGCCACCCGACAATTTCCTAAGCACCCTCTAGAGCCACAAAACTCAGATGATAGCTGGTACTAACGAACAGAGGATCTGGTTTATCAGAGGATCTGATGAACAAAGTGGCTGGCTGGTATGAACTTCTTCAGAGCAGGATTTCTTAGGGATTGGAAGCCCAGCCTTTACCTTCAGTTCTATCGGGCAACCAAGATTTGTTCACTGTGATGAAAATAGAGGCTCTCTGACTAGAGCTTCTTCAACTTTCTGCCTTGTTCTGCCCAGCAGGTCTAGAAACTGCCCTCCTGTCTCTCTCCTATTCTCTAGGCTCAGTGGGAAGAGGTACTTTCTTCTACTAGTGGGTAATCCCTCCAGCTAACCTCTGACTTTGCCTTTTCCTACTTTCTTAGATGCATCATGCCACCCATCATCCTCTTTCAGGAGCATATTCAATGTCTCATTGGCTACTTAGATCTGAGCATTAACCCACCCAGCTTAGATTATGGCCACACCCCACTCTCCGAGTCCTCAGTTGCTCCTCTCATGTCCATAATAGTTATAGGGCAAATATGACTACCTGCTTGCTTGAACCTTCCAATTGTTCTCCATTGCATTCAGAAAACAAAGTGCAACTCCTTAGCTAGGCATTCATGAGGTACCATGATCTGGCCCTCAGCCGCTTCATACAGGATAATGCCTGCACCCTCCAAAAGATTTTGCCATATCCCCCTCATGTGCTAATATCTTCTCACCCCTTCCTGCCTTGGCAGCTGCTGCTACTTTATAAAAGACCTTGTCTAACTCTCCATTCACTCAATTCTCTCAGCCATCTATTTTGCATCCTTCAGAGCCTCCGAGGAGCTCAGAGATCCTGGTATTTACTTCCGCCATGGTTTATCTGCAGCACTAGCATGAGGCACTGCATACAGTAGAAACTGACTAGTCGTCTGTAGAAGAAATGAATGAAAAGATGAACTGAATGAATTACACTTGTGCTGATCATGACGCTGCCTGTCTGGGACACTGTGGGGAACCTGGTGCTGCAACTCACTATGTTGGTCATGCCCTGCTGCCCTCTTCTTCTATGGCAGGCTCGTCAGATCCTGGAGCAGACCCCAGTGAAGCAGCTGGTGAACTTCAAGTGGAGGAAGTACGGGCGGCCTTACTTCTGCATCCTGGGAGCCTTGTATGTGCTCTATATGATCTGCTTCACCATGTGCTGCATCCACCGCCCTCTCAAGGCCCGTAGTGGCAACCGCACAGATTCCCGAGACGTCACCATATTCCAGCAGAAGCTGCTCCAGGTGACTCTTAGAGGGGATGAGAGGGGCTGATAGCACGTGGTGATGGCACTGGAAACCAGAGCCACGCTGCCCAGGAGATATGCCACTCCCTTGACTCTGGAAGGGTCAGGCTCCTGATCACCTGGACAGAAACTAGGCGAGAGTTAAGAGAACCAAAGCTGGGGCTCAGTGAATACAAGTGGACTTGTCCAGGGAGTGAAGGCTTTCTTGTGAACTTTGAAAGAATGCTTAGTTTACCTGTGCCTTTGTAAAATCCCTTGTTACTCACAAAGGTCTGTAGACCAGACCTTTGTAAATATGACCTTCAACAGAAGCCTTGTTGTTCTAAAGGGAGGAAGAGTGTGCTCCAGGTCCATTTTCTGAGTCTGCCAGTGGTCTGTTAGGGTCACACAGACATTCTTCTGACCTGCATTCGCTTCTGAACACAGTCAATATGAGTGCATTGAAAGTGCTGCATCAGCTGTCTGACCACCTGTCAAAGGTGCTGCAGACGATGCCTGGATTGGGTATCAGTTGGAAGGAAATAGTCTCTGGGGTCCTTTTACTCTGGTGAGCTTGTCATTCTGTGAGTCACCTTCAGAGACCTGGGGTGAGGATGACTGAGCGGAGGTGTGGAGTCAGTGTCCGGGTCTGCTGTTGAAAGGAGCAGACTTCTTGTTGTGACAGAATGAGCAGGCTCTCACAAGTGCTTCTAGGCATGTACATTCAACACTGGGCTCATTTAATAGGTAACCGAAATCCTTGTCCTAGTGACCTGAAAATACCTAAAAGGGAGTGCAGGCATGTGGGCAGAAAGCAAAAGACAGAAGAGGAACAATTTTGCCAGGCAAGTAACAGCTCAATGGCTAGAGATGTATGCTCAATGCCGAATGGGTCAGCTAGAGGTATAGCTCAACCTGGACTTGGAGAGGGGCAGCTTGGAGGAGTTAAGGAACAAATAACCTGAGTCGTGTTAGCTCAAAGGCAGTGGATACTCAAAGAAAGGACAGGGCAAAGAGCCTTACTAAATGCTGAAGTAGGTCAAGTCACTCCAAGCTTCTAGAATTGCCTCTTGGTGTATCTACAGTGTTTGCTGCCTGCAGAACACAAGGCTGAGTGTGGTGGGGCTGCCTTGTTCGAGGTGGGCATAGGTGCATTCGGGGGAAGCTGGGTTCCCTGTGTCTCAAATGGGACATGAAGGTTGTCCCTGGTGTGGAGACCATACCCCAGGAAATAAGGACGTGGAAGGGATGGCCAACTGAGATTGGCCAGCGAAAACAATGAAGGAAATGTATAAACATGGGGTTGGCTTGACATTTCCAGTGTTCCTGACTCTGATTCCTCAGATGCATTCTTTCCCAGCCTTCCTTTGTTTCAGGCTGACTGGGGGGATTTTCTGGATCTAGAATGTAGATAGCCTTCTAGCCAAAGAGTTGGGCGATGCTGAGCAAATGATTACCACCAAGACTCCTTCTTCTTTCTTACCTTCTTCTTAGCACCATGTCTCTTTCTCTCTGTGGGAGGACTAATTATGTCCCTGTGAACATAATGTTCCTTTGACCCAAATTGTCCAGATAGTCTAAATTATTAGCAGCTACTTCCCCTTGCCTCAGGACTAGATGAAGCATAATTATAGCTAAGTGCTCTAACTTCCTTTGCATTTTCTCTTTTTCATCTCTTTTCCCCCTTCAGCATCCCCCTTCAGCATTTTCACCCTTTTGCTCACTTTGATAAAATCTACTTTAGCCAAAATAGAAGACTCATGACTTTCAAATATTTTCTTGGTTGGGGTAGGTGGGGCTTAAGAAAGCAGCTCTGAGCAGCTTGAATAGGGAGGAGTATCAGTGCAGGTCTGTGTTTTTTTTTTGGCATGAGCCCTTGGGCCTTGGTCCTGAGTTGATGGGGCCCATGTGTTTCTCTTAGTAGGAAGTCAATTGGGATTAGATCAGGGGCTCCCAAACTTATCACCATGACTTTAAAGATTCTGCTTTCATGATGTACCACATTTGTTGAATAGTATGAAATTCTTTTCTTCTACATTTCTATTACTTGAGAGTCTTAGAAATATGAAAATATACCAACATAGGGTATTAACTTGATTAATGCAGTTGTTTCCATATTAATTAGCCCACAGAGCTTTTTATTAGATAAAGGAGTACTTTTATATCAAATTCTATGAATAAATCTAGACTCACAGAGCTCTCAGTCACTGTAGGATTTTCTCTGTGGGTCTCATGGGATCTAGAAAAGTCACTGGACTCCACGACAGTAGCCCAGAGCACCATCTCAAAACACTGGAAAGGAAACAGATACTCCTTTATTTATATAAGATGGCATAAACTAGGCAAAAGCAAGTCATAGGAAAGGGTGGAGTTTTGGAGCTATTTTAAGAAATATCTTCACTCTAGGATGCTTCATTGCTCAGCCATAAAAGTTATGCTATTCCTGGACTTCCCAAGAACTCCCTTAATCAATAAGATTTAATTTCCTGTCTTGATTCAATGTTTACTTGGTTTAGGCAGAACAAAGTGCATTATAATCCTAGTTCTCCTAGACTGCCAAGTGAGCAGAAAGTTCGAAGTCTGGGATTAGGTGGCTTAGATTTAAGTCCTAACTCTAAAACCAAATAGCTGTTTGACTTGAACAGATCCTATCTCTTGCTAGACCAGTAGTTTTTTAACCAAGACTACTTATTAGGGCTTCCTTAGTGGCTCGGTGCTAAAGAAACTGTCTGCCAATGTGGGACATGCAGGTTTGATCCCTGGGTTGGGATGATCCCCTGGAGAAGGAAATGGCAACCCACTCCAGTATTCTTGCCTAAGAAATCCCATGGACAGAAGAGCCTGGTGGGCTACAGTCCATGGGGTTGCAAAGAGTCGGACACAGCTTAGTGACTAAACAACAACACCAACACATTAGACACATGGAAATCTCGTTTTAAAAAAAAAAGTTACAGATCCCTAAGCTGCCCCATACCTGAGGCATCAGAATGTCTGAAATGGTGGCCCCTGGCAATGGTATTTTAAGAAACTCCTTGATTGATTCTCATACACAGTTTGAACTGAGATCTTCTAAGCTTTCTAAGGTGAAACTGATCACTCTGATTGTTTAGACCCCTGATTTGCTGTTCAGGAAGAGGGCATTGATCTCCCATCATCAGATTTCCTTTCTGTGTTTTGATGATTTTCCTTGATCTCTCCAATGCCGTTTGCTTTGCTCCAAATCACTTTGTTAATTCATTCATTAAACAAACCACTACTGAGAGCCTAAGGGTGCCCCAAGTATTATTGTAGGTATTGGAAACTCAACCTGGTCTGAACAAAACACTTCACCTCTGCCTTTTGGTGTTTGCAGACTGATTGACATTAATCAAATGAATAGAAATTTCATTGCAAACTGTGATTGTTACAATTCACATGAGTTTTTCTTATGATAAGAAGACAGGATACTGAGAGATTCCTTGGAGGAGAAAATGGCAACCCACTGTAGTATTCTTGCCTGGAAATTTCCATGGACAGAGGAGCCTGGCAGGCTACAGTCCATGGAGTCACAAAGAGTCAGACACAACTGAGCATGCATGCATGAATGAATTCAGGGTGGAAAGTGAGTTCTAGGGAGAGACAATACATATACAAAGGCTCTGAGGCAGGAAGAGCCTTGTGAATGTCTAGGAACTGAAAGAAGGCTGGCTAGGATAGAGGGAGCTGGGGCAGGAGCCTCCAGATTAGATTGTCCCGGCAGGTCTTTTCCAAATCATGTAGGACCTTACTGGCCATCCCAAGGATTTTACTCTTTATCCTAAAGCTAATGGGAGGCTCAGGATTTTAAACAGGGGAGACACTTGATAATACTTTTGTTTCAGAAAAATGTCTCTGTTTGTAGGCTGGAGAACAGGTTTGAGGGGGCCAGGGAAGATGTGGGGGACCAGCTAAGAGGCTATTACAGTTCAGTGAAGAAAGAGAATAGTGGTGGATTGGCCTCAAGATGTGATGGGGAGACTGAGAGAAAGGGTTGGCATCAGGACACTTATTGAAGGCAGAGTCATCACTACTATACAATGGATGGGATGTAGGTAGTCAGGGAGAGGACGTGGCAGGAGTGACTTGTGGGTTCTTTGTATTTGAAATCATCCTCTACCTGTCATGGTCAGTGAGACTGCTTTTCCTACACATCACAATTCCTCACAAACTCCGCTATTTAAAGTGCCACAGTTATTTGAAACCCAGCTGTATGTCAGCTCGACCCTGCTTTACTTGGGGTCCTACCCAACTCCCTTTGGAACAAGCACAGCAAATTAAAGAGAAGACAGAGGTGGGAGAAGCAGAGAGCCCAGGGGGTAAAAATAACATCTATTGGGTGCTGGGTTTGAGCACTTGCCACGCATTTGCCGGTGCTTCTGAGATCTTGTGAAAGGGCAGATTCAGAGAGGAAAGCTGATGTGGGCCCCGAGTTTCTGCATTTCTGACTCGCTGCTGGTGTTGTGATTCTGTGGACAGCATTTTGGATGCTAAAGTATGATACTGGGTGATCCTCATAGATGCCCTCATAAGTAAATGAGATTTTTATACCCATTTTAAAGATGGTGAATCTGAGGTTGTGAGAGGTTAAGTCCTTTGGTAAAGATGCTCAACTAGTAAGGGCAGTGCTGGTTGGGCTTCCTGTCTGGTTCACTTCAGAAGCTTCAACTTTAATGCAAAGTCAGGTCATTTCTCCCTCCAGAGAAATATGCTGGATTCCAGGCTTCTTCCTCAGAGGGACCCACTGCTTCAGGAACTCCTGTTTCCCAGCTTTGACAGGTAGCCAGCGCCGGCCACACTCACCTGTACCTGGGCACACCTGATATTTCCCCGGCAAGATAAGAGGTGCTGGAGTGCAGGAGCGGGGAGTCGGTCAGACATGGAATTGCCTCCGACCTGTAGCCTCTGAGCTCCTGCCTACGCTCTAGGGTTGATCATCAGTTCAGTTCAGGTCAGTTCAGTCGCTCAGTCGTGTCCGACTCTTCGTGACCCCATGCACTGCAG